GCGCGTGCACCGTCACCGCGGCGCGCACACGCGCACACCCGGAGGCAGCTCGGAACGTACCAAGCTGCGTCCTCCGCCCGCGCGCAGCAGCCGCACACCTGGCGGGCGCCCCCAGCCGCCAGAAAGCCCGCGCCGGGCGGGAGGTGGGGGTCCTCCGGCCTGCTGTAGGCCGCGCCCACCTCGCTCTCCCGACCCGCGGTGACTCTGCCACCCGGGTCAGACCCCGGTCCCGGCTTGCCAAGCGCTGAAGCCGCTCAGATGCCAAAGAGGTGGTAGCAAGGCCGGCACCCGGGGAGAGGAGGGCGCCGGGAATGAGAGGGAGGGTACCGCGGGTCCTGAGCGCCGCGCCTGCTGTTGAGACGCTAGTGTCGCAGCCACCAGGGGACTGCCCGAGGCAGCTCCTCGGGAACAAAGGCGCGGGGCGGGGCAGGCACGCCCAAGGGACCCAGAACAGAAAGGAGGGAACAGCCCACCTGCCTGAAGCTCCTGAAGGAGGGGGCCCTGGGGCGGTGGGGAACCAAAGTGCAGAAAGATCCACGGGTTCCTGGTCAATTAAAGAAGACACTCTGGAGCTCTCTCCAGCTCTGCGAGGGGTGGGACTGGGGAGGGTTACAGTGTTATCTGGTCTTGGAAATGAGAGGCTTCAGGACTGCCAGAACCAACGAAACTGCCCCTGCTTTGGACCTGGCAGCCAGGAGCTTTCATTCATTCACTCCACATAAATCTCAGCTTCTGCCAAAACAAGAATGCTCATGAACTTCAAAGAGTCGAAGGAATGAAAGGTCTTCTAGGTAGCCTTTATCTCGGTAACCTCTACAGAGGCGGCCTCCGAATATGACTTGCACACGTCAGTGATGGGAAGCTCACTCCCTAAAGGGCAGCCTATGCTGCTCTCAGGCAGCTCTCAGTGCTAGAAAGTCCTTCCTTTCATCACTCGCAAGTCGTCTTCACTTCTGTTGGCCATGGCCTCATTCTGCTCTGGCCACAATGGCTTTCTGCTTCTAGAACATACTTACGGCCTTGTACTTGCTGTTCCCCCTGCAGGAATACTCTTCCACCCCATCTCCAAACCTCCTTCCTCCAACCCCAGCAGCTTTTCTATATAGCTGCCCCCTTGTATCCTTCAAGACTCAGTTCAAATGTCACCTTCTCAGAGATGCTTTCCACCTCTTCCAAAGCCTCACACACCGACTAGTCACTCTTTATTTCCATGCCCTGTTTCAGTTTCTTCAGCACTCTGATCATCTTGGGAAATTTTCTTGTCTATGCACCTATAGTCTGTCTCTCTCACTAGAATGTGTGTTCCGTGGAAGCAGGACCTTTGTCTGCCTTGAGACAAGTCACTGTAACCCCCAGGCCTGACCCAAAACAAGGTGGGAGGAAGAAAAGGAGGCAGGGATGGACTGCTCATGGTCTGAAACCCCTCAGCAGCCTGGTCCATCACCCTGAAAGGCAACCTGCTCAGCCATTCAAGAGTAACATCTGGCATAGTGTCAGCAGAGGAAAAGCACTATATCCCTGTCCACCAAATTAATGAACAAACGAACATTCCTTTTAGAGTCCAAGATTCAGAACAGTTCCCTCCCTCGCTCTGGACTCTGCCCTGAGATCTTGAAGCCCCAAGATGCAAGCATTTTCTTAAAACCTAAAACATGGAGCCATTCCCAAGCTTCTAGTCAATTGGAATTCCTCTGACAGCTCCGATTCCCTAGCCCTGCTGCACAACTACAGACAGGATTGGAGGTCAAAAGAGACTTCCCCTTTATCCATGTTAAATTTTACCCCCTAGATTTGGTCTCAGAAAACAGCCTCCAGGGCAGTAAGGGTCCCAATTCTGACATCTCGTCCGTTGGAATGGTGCCCAGATTCCTGCCATCAGCAAGGTCACCAGCATGCTATCCACATACTTCCTGATCAAGCCACTCATAAACACACTGAGCAGTACTCAGCCGATGGCAGCCCACTCATTAACCTCCCTAGTTGTGCCATCTCCCAGCCCACATTCCTCTGTGTCACCTGCAAGGCTCTGCTGGGAATAAAAGAACCATTTGTTGCTGAAACTCACAACTCCTGCTCCAACACCCCCAATCTACTTTCTAGTCTGGAAACTAATCTGAAAAGCAAATAAGCTTTCCCCAGCAGGGTGGATTCTCAGGGCATTCATTCACTCACTGCTGATGATCACCCACCTCTTCCTTTTCTAAGTGCCCCTAAACCATTTCTTTAAAAACAGACTCTGAAACATAACCAGGACTGATGCTAAGTTCACTTATTTATGGTCTATGGACTTATTTCCTCTTTGTAAAGACAGAAATTACTTTCCCTATCTCCCGCCTCTGGGCATGTGCCTTATTCTCTGAAAAGCGGTGTGCACAGTGGTTGTGAGCACTATCCCTTACTAGCTGTTATTTAACCTCTGCACCTCGGTTTTGTCAGCTGAAAAATGGGGGGAACAGTAGTTCCTAGATCATAACATTTTTTGAAGATTAAATTAATTTTTCCTGAAAAACATTTACAACGTGATACATAATGAGCACTCAAAAATAAAAATAATATTCTATCACAATGGAGCTATGACAAGCACCCTAGGATGTAGCCTTCCCAGGTATGAAAGCTGAAGTTATTTCAAATGACTCCATCCTGTCTTATGATGGCTTCCCTCATCCACAGACGCAACTCTGCTCCTGCGATTCTGAAGAGCATCCCCATTCTTTGGTTCAGAAACAGAGCAGCTTCGTTAGTCTCAGGCCACTTGCACGGGCAGGAGGTCTCACCCTCTTCTTCTTTCCCTTGCTCTGATCTTGGGCAGCTACACCTCAGTCTTGGGGCTAGCTTCCCTACCAGTCTTCCTACAGGTTATGAGCCCACGTTATGTTCATTTCTCATCCATTTGGTGCCTGTTTAATAAGCTCTTTCTCTGGGCTAGGATCTCAGGATATAGAAGAGAACAAGATAGAAAGGCCCTGCCGTCATAGAGCTTACACCTCAGGGGCAGGGGTGGGGCACGGACAATGAACAAATAGACAAATAAGATATTGTCAGTTAAGGTGAGAGCTTTGAAGAAAAGGAAAAAAAGATGAGGGAGAAGCTACTTTATGTCAGATGGCATTTAGCTTGCAGTAGGCTTTGCATGTTGCCTGAAACTGAATCCCACCCTGTACCCTTCATGTTCGTGCGTCACTAGCGTGGTCCAGGGCGGCCACACTGGCCTCTTTCTTTTTCCGTGCATGCATTTCCAACTGAACACTCAGAATTTTATTCTTGCATACTTCCCAATACTCTTACCTTAAGCTTTAGGGACTTTCCTGTCTTTTCTCTATGTTACTTGAAATCCACTTTCTGGAATCCAGAGGACGTGTCTGACCACCCATTCCCTGAATACCAAGAGTTCCCAGGTGGCCTGAGTCACCTTTCCCAGGTTTCCTGTCACTTCCACATCATCATCTAATTATTTCCTTCTCTTTGGACAGAACTGGATCCAGAGCATCCATCCACCTCACTGCTTCCTGTACCTTCTGAAATCATCAATGAGATAAGAGGGAGCAGATGCACTATTCTTAGCGAAATAGGATTCCAGGCAAATGTCTGAGGAGGTGAAGGTTCTCATCACTTCTAAACCTTATTCCTGGTACCAGCTGGGGAGCTTTCAGTGAGAGCATCATCCCTGCTCTCCTATTGTCCAGCCCATGTGTATCCCCCCAGATGACATCACTCCTACTCCTCTTTCCTTCAACCACCCCTGGGAGGAAAGGCTTGTTCATTCTTGAATTCAAGAGTCCTGCTCATTTAGAAGCTGGTGCAAAGAGGTTTTGATGAGAAAGTGGGAAGAAAGGTCCAGAATCAGGTCCAACAGAAGCCTTGGGAAGGGGTGTGGCAGCAGCAGGGCCAACGAGGATGTCTCTGTCGACACTGGTAATGCTGGTCATAACTGTCCACAGTGTGGGTGAAGAATGGGTGGGAGCCTAGGCAAGAATCTGAGTCAAGAAAAGCTCTCATATCCCAGCCCCTAACCCAGACTCAGGGTCCCAGGTGGATTCTCTGGCATGGGAAAAGAGAGTCAAAGAAGGCAGGACTGCCTCTACCCAGGTCAAAGCAGGGGCTGCCCAGCAAGTTTTCCAGCCACCCTCCCTCTTAAAGAGGAACCAGCTGATCTCCAGGCTTTGGAGATCTCAGCAGGCATCATTTCACTTGAGAATCATGATCTCCCTAATAGGAGGCAGAGAAAATATGATCACATCCATTTTAGAAAGAGGAATCAGAGGCAGTGAGCTACCTCAGATGGTGCATTCTAGGCTGGACAAACTCTTTACAGGACCCTGGGAGGCCTCTCCACCACTGAGAGCAAGGATTCCCCACTGCG